CATAATCCTTACAGAAGAGTGTAAGTTGATATGAACACAAACTCGTTATCAACAGTTCTTATATTTTATTAGACTTATACGCAGCGTTTCTAAGTCTACTCGATTGAAGCTCCCTTTGAATTGGCACTTGAAATAGAGCAAATATACATAATTGTCGATATGTCTTACTTATACGTGATCACAAGACTCATTGCTCTGAAAGGCACTGCGTTTACCATTCTGTTACGGCAAGCACAATGACTATTAACAATGCACTGTTACGGACTGCATTTCCACGTAACCTGGACAAAAAAAAGTACCAAAAAAGCGATCAGGCTGAAGTACCTCAATCAGTTTTTCTACACATACACAAAATGTTTGTCATTGAATATTTTGTATTCGTTACCTTCTCTAAAAAACCGCCGATGAATAAGTACGTTGACACTACACAGAAACGCTCATAACACAAAAAAAGTGACATATTTTCGACAAGCATACGTGATGATTACACACTGTACTGAGATTAGGCAGTGAATCTTAAAACTCGTGACCGTATTTAAAGTGCAACACCGTATAACATAATATAAACATGTCCTGGAGATATCGCCGTGCTGTACAAAAGAACTCGTCTTTCTGTTCTGAAAACTAACAGACGGTAACGTTCATAGTGAATCCTTGTTATAAAAATCCTCGACATTACCTAGAAGTAGAGTGTTCGAAAATATGGCTAACAATATACACCATGCATAAGCGCTTTATCTTTCATTTAGCCTACAGAAAAACCTACTACCTCGGAACAACGCTATGATTGTACGCACCCGCGAGATGCGAATATCGAATATTATACGACACATGGGGCAGACCAAAGAAAGCGGTCAGCTAAGTCTTTTGTCGAATTCAAGAGCACGTTTTCTTCCTGGAAATGGGAAACGGAAGATGGTGCCTATCTTCTCTTTGCGAAACGATGCCTCTTCGCCTCACAGCCCACCCTGAGTACACACATCATTGCAATTGACTAAAAAAAAATTGGTTTCATACCTTTAATAGAACTGTGTGCATAAACAAAGTTTACCCCAAACAGAAATATTTTGCGCGTCGCACATCTATCATAGTAATTATTTTTCACCGAACCTAAGGATAGGCACGTATTCACTGATATAATGCGCTTCATTAGTCTTTGCGTCAGCTGTATCGAATAAAATGTGCTCTCATATATTAGTTGCTATAGAGATTCTGTGTCAACTCCTCGCGATGTATTGCGAAGTCAACAGGTTGATATTTCTAATTACAAGGAAAATATTGTTGTTATACTCAAAAGATAAACGTTACATTATTTACAAGGAACCTGACAGGTATGATTTTAGAGCAAGCAAAAAGTAATGCTATTACTACCAGCGTCATGATACTAGGAAAATCACATTTTCTAATTTTTAATTGTTTGGTTCGTTGGAAAACCGTAGAGTGCGCGAATATGTCGCCGTGATAGCGTAGCGTTTGTTTGGTCATGCTAGGGACACGTTGTGGTATAGGTTCGAACCCAGGCATAGGCACACTTCATTTTGTGCTTGGAGCCAGCCGTTTTATTTCTGGTGTCGCCGACAGGTGCCATAAAACTAAAAACATAGAAAGTAGATTATTTTGAGTTTTATGAAAAAAAAAATAAACCGGCCTTAAACGGACGCGGGTTATACCGACGAAAAAGAAACACCACTTTACATATAATACCAGAATAAGTATAAGCCAGAGAAATTGATTCAAATGAAGCTCTTGTTCTTTGCTAATAGGAATTATGGCATAAAATTAACAATGCAGGAACAAGACTAGTCAGCCACACAACAAGAGACATTGCATTGTGGTAAAGTGAATAATAACGAAATAGTACTAAGAAGTAAATGGTATTATAAAGCGCACATATCCACGGGATGTAGTAAAACATACGAAATATAGTAAAAAAATAGAATATGCTAATAGAAAGTAAAATGTGCATATATATATATATATACAGATACTACGAGAGGTGAGAGAAGTAAACTACAGGTCATATACAAACAAAATGCCACATAGACATATTATAATCAATGGTTATTAAAACGCGATGGTACTTTATCTTTTTCCACCATATAAGATCTAACACATAGGGCTGCCGGATTAAACGAAAATTTTCATACTTCACTTGAATGATTTTGCATTGATTATTCCGGAACACGGATTGTTTGCAGTCGATAATAACAATGATTATAATAAATGGCCAATAACCGAATTTCAGCTACTTTAGAGTATATAGCAACATGGACACTCAACTGTGATCGTTACCACAGGACGCCTAGCATTTCGAGCAAATCGTATATGGCGCATTAATGACATTCGAAATGCTATTTCTAAGTAACAGTCGTTTTAGGTCAACCACTATACTATAAATCAGCACTACTGAAGAGACTGAGCCTGCTCTCGTCATTGGCTAAGCAATGCAAATGTGTATATTTGTTGCATGGCTGATGCAATGACTTTTGGCTCTTGAACAGTCCATTTCTTAATAATTTCGATTCTACGAGGGCGTAACCGAACGAGGCTCTCACAGATCTCAACAAACGAATACCAAGTTACTTGTGATTATAAAATTAATGCTGATTTAAAGGGTTACTTTTCACAGATTGCGCTTTGGAAAATTAGAATAGATATTTTAGTTATTTCGATTCTTTGCGGCGGGCGGGGCATGACTGAGCGAAATCCGTCGAGTCTTGATAAGCAAATGTCAAGTCACTTTTCGCATCTTCGTTATAGATCGGCTAGCGGCTCGGACGTTGATACCCTAATTGCGCCCAACTTACCAGCTGCTTATTGTTTATATTCTGATCGAAGCGCTTGGTCATTAATGTTAGCGATCCTGCGTTCATGCAACATTCGTGTCTGCCACGTACAACTGCGCCCTTTGTAGTTTGTTGCCTGGGTGATTTCGCGCATTTGACGGAACGCCTTTCGGCTGGCCGCCTCTTTAGCGGCTGCGCATTGTTAGTTCAATCTTACAACGGTCCTGGTGCTCTTGTGCAAAGTCGATCATCATAGTGTATTCCCAACACCTTCCCTTCGTACAGCCTTTACAATACGTAGTAACTTCGTATGGTATATATGGCCACTTCCTACTCGTACGTCGCACGTCTAGTATTTCCCGTCTTTTAAGCTTTTTTTCGTCGACAATGGTCCTTTACAGCCGAACCCTCTCGTCTCTTGGTTCAACACCGACGATTAGATAAACCACAACCTTACGCCGTTACAGGTAGTGCCGGTCACTTCGGGGGCCTGCCTCTTGCAACGACCTGGCCCCCAATGGTCTGCGTCCTAAGGCGATCTGATCGGTGGTTGATGTTTCTCGGGCATGTCTCCAGCTCTTACGGCTTGGGTGAATCAAAAGTCATCGTGCAATTTGAGAAAATCTTTCAACACTTGGAGAATTTTTATTTCACTTCTGTTGAGATAGAAGGAGATGCGAAAACGATGATTCTGAAAAAAATATAACAGATTTAACTGAGCCCGCTAAAAGAATTTATATACCCTTGTAACAGCGCTTAATTGCCCTATAACTTCATCTGTGAATTTAGAATTGGTTTAAATTTTGGCGTCACAAATCGGTTTGGTAAAAGAGAAAAGGCAGCTATTCATTATATTTGCAGGGTTGTTTTCCGACATCAGAAAGCACATATGCTTTTGCCAGATAATAGAAAGCGCAGGAGCATCCGGATCGCTTTTTAGACATCCAGCAAGCAGCGACTACATCATCCGCGCGGACATTTGTGCTTCTGATAATTTGAACTGTCATCAACTAATGAACTAGGTGTGCGCGACCGATTATCTTCCGAAGTTAAATTATAATAACCCTTTGTTTGCAAAGGTGAAGAGGAGTATTGAAGAGTGAAGAACCTATAATAACATAACTCAGATCATAATTTAAGCACAAAAGCGCCCTTCAAAAGATAGCTTAAGCAGGATATCATTCCAAGAGGTACGTGCTCTGCGTTTAGTGGATTACAGGAGAGCGCTCCCTCACGAAGTTCTCTCAAATAACCAAATTATTACCCTCGTAAATTGAGAGTTCGATCATTTAATACAATGCACCCAAGAAAAACTAGGTTAGGAAGAATGTTTTTTCATGACGACTTCTTGCTTCACACATCCTAAGTGGCCCGCTAAAAACTGTAGGAGCATAAACTGGATGTTTTGGCTTACTTAGATTATGGTATCAATTTTTTGCCTTCCGATTATAATTTTTTTTAAATCTTTGCAGAACATATTTAACGGATGAATGTAGTACCTTTAAAAGGTGTGAAAAAATTACATTCATTTAATAGTTTAGCGCAAATATACTAAGTTATACGACTAAGTTGCTTGAAAGATAAGCGAGTGCCTCTTGTCACTGATTGCCCGGACATGGTGTGCGCTAAAGAATGAATCAGTGGCCCTCGAGTTAGAGGGGCGAATATTAAATTTAAAAACGAAACCTGTGGCATCGGTTACGATAGCTGCCCGTAAAATGCAAGGTGATCTCCGACAGACTCCAGGCCACTAAGCCACCATAAAAGCAGCGTCAGTAGTTAACGAAAGCATTATACATCCCCTTGGCCCTTCGATGAAAAGAAAGAAAAATACACTAACAGCACCAGTGGGTCAATTGCGGTGTTTTTATAGGCTAGTTACTATGAATGCATGGAATTTAAGAAAGACACATATGTCGGCTAAGTGGAGAATTCCTCGGAGTCATTAATCAACGGAAGACCGGGGTCAGAAGCGCATGTACTCTCCGTTCCCCTCTTCGGCCTGACTGCAAAGTGGCAAATGATATTATTGCGACAAAAGCGGGTCAAGAAATGTGAAATCTTGGCTCTGCCGCCTTCCATATCGCAGCACCCGGTCGTCGGGAGTGGACACTACAGCCGTCGTTGTAGTATACAGTTCTGGCAAGTAATACTAAAAAACTTTAGTATATTTGCTAAGACAACTAGTAACTAAAAAAAACACCTAAATTTAATCAGACTACTTCTTCATTTATATTATTATTCATATTATTAAGTTAAATATTAACTTCTCCTTTCGTATGATCCACTTCATCATTTCTGGCCGTATATGACAATTTATACAGTTTAGACATACATAGTTTGTACTTTGTTTCTCCAACACTCTTGTAATTTTTGGATACTGATAGGTTATCGCATAGGATCTCTGCATCACAACGTTTTATATTGTTTTTATATTAGAATAAACGGGCGGTGATTCCTTATCATACATCTTGCATCCAATAATGAAGTGCCCACGCACCCTGCATAAAGAGGTAACTTCGTCATTCGAACGTTAACGGTAATTCCGTAGCCAATGTGCTTCGATAGATTCAATTTCTAGACTTTCTTTCTCGATAGTCTCAGCTCAATTTCTCCTGCGCGATTCAAAGACTAGTCGCACTATAATGGGGCCCATTAATATTTTGAAGCCCTGTGATATCGACCCCTTCACATTGTTAGGGGCGTTCGACTGGCGCAAATATAAGTTACTGTTTTTTACATAGTAGCTGTTGTTGTTTTCATTATGATAATTAGTCATAGTAGTTGTATCATTATCGTCATTACAGATTATCTCTTCTTGTTGTGTATTTGATGACGCTCGTATTTCTACGTGTGCACATGTTATGTACATATAGATCTTCGCAGGTTTTTTTTTTTAATATTTCTAGCATCACATCTGCCATGTGTCGTGCTGTTAAACCGTAACACATTCTTTGTTCAAAGTGTAGCGGAATTAGTTAGCCAGTTATAATAGAAATTAAGCTTAGCAGATTTACAAATAATCGTCAGTAAGGCAGATGCTTGTGTTGCTTCCTCCATCGGGTTAGTTTTTCCGTTTTCCAATCATAAATACATGTTCTTATATATGTAGGGCATAATAAAAAAATCTAAAGCACTCAAAGTTGAGGTAGGGGGCGCAAATGTGAAGACCAACAACTTGATAATCTCAGAAGGTATATGTACAGCGTCACCTTTAATAATTCTTTAGTTGTACCGATAGGCAAATTATATGTATATATATATATATATATATATATATATATATATATATATATCAGACATCCACATCAGAAAAGCAAAAATAGTTAAAGAGATCTGATACATATGGCTATCATGTTTTGATGAGACAGTCATCAGCCCACAATGGGAATAAAGAACGGAACTAGGAAGTCGTTAACCCTTTTGGTCCCAGCGCATCCACCGATAGGCAAAGCCTAAGTTTTTAATCAACCGCTCCTCGACTTTTTCACCATTTTAAAGAACAGTTACCTGATTTGCTTCTTGCTAATCTTCTGAAGAGTGAAAAGAGTAATGATAAAGAGTTTTCTATTTGTGCAAAGGCGCTTTCTACACTGGGAACCGCTTTGGAGCTAATATACCATCCCGTGCTCAGGTACTGGGCCACCCTCCGCCTTTTCTTGAAAGATCCTAAGCTATCTACGATGAGATATGGGTAAATGGGGTGGCTGTCTGCCTTCATTCGAGGTCACCGGATCAGGATGGTGTTGCTGTTCATCTGACCTATTACGGCGGTGATAATAATGATCAGTGCTTGTGCGGGTAATTTTTGAGGTAATCTTTGAGCGACTGCGGCAGCTGTTTTGCTTCTCTTGACGAAGTAGTAGCGATGGCCGTAACTGCAGCAGGAGAACGATTAAGTGCAACGCGACAGAGGTGTTGCAACGAATTGACGCGATTGTAGCGCGGTTGCGAGATCTTAATCGGCAAATCACGACGACCGGAGGCGTCTAGCCAAACACAACACTTGCCTTTCTCTGATTCCGATAGGCTGATGTAATATTCGACGAGCTGCACAACACAGGGGAATGTTGGCATTCGAATTGCTACTTGATGTTCACAGTCTAGTCGAAACGCGCCATGCTGATAGTGGACTCGCACTGACGTTGGCCCACGCTCCGTCTGCACTGTCAGTGCGAACAGGAAACGATTGTCCCGCGAGTTGCGCACGAGAAAACTACCAACACGGGAACCTTTTAGCAGAAGATCGGCATCCTGCCAGCTAAGATTTTCATAATAGTATCCCGAAAGTCGTAATAGTCGTAAGGTATCACCTACCCTATGCAAATCATAGCTTTCCTGCAGACAATACTGCGGTGCAGGGAATACAAGCGACATGGCCAGATGTCTCTTACGGGGCCGCTCGTCGTGTGGGCGTTCCAAACGCTCCTCACGTGCGCTTAGAGCAGTAAGCGCTGATGCTGGGGTCGCTTGGGGAACTACAAAACTTGCAACACTTGATGACTGACCACCTTTTGTCTGCGGAGAAGTCGAGTTGCAACCGATACTTGCAGCCGCTGCCACGCCTGTCGCAGAATGATGATGGTGGTTGTGGTGAAGTTGCGCGCTGGTCAGGACACCACCGTCTCTGCATCGTCCCTTAACCAGTTGCTGGGCCACTTTATGGGCCGGTTTATTATACGGCAGATTGAATGGTACCAGTGGCCCGGCAAACGGGAGTGAACCGCCGAGAGAGAAACCGTGCGAATTCCGATGTAACGAAGGTGAAGAATATGAACTGACGAGGGACAAAGACATCTTGAAGCCGAAAGATGAATGACACGGTGGTCACCACAGGCAGGCAAAGGCCACTGTAAAAATAATACATATTTTTGAATTAGAAATAGATAATTTACTACTGATATCATTAACAATGATAAAAATAATAAGAGACACTGAATAGCTTGAAATCGAACAGAGTGAGAATCCGATTGCCGGCTATCATTAAGCCAAGTTCGCAAACTAAGATATGCATAAGACGTTTCTATAGAAAACCTAACTGCTCGTCCGTTGAATCGCCACAGCCGCTTCGGCTTCTTCCCGGAAAACGCTGAGATGATCAGAAGTGTATGAAGGGCTGGCTGGGCGACACTCTTCTTATAATCAGAATTGCGCTTATTCTGAGATCTGCTCAACGAATAGCGAAGTCAAAAGTAAATTTGGTCTCAAAAATGGCCGTAAGATGTTAAAACATAGAAACTAACTATGAGACCGACCTGTGTTTTTACCTTATCATAACAAAAATCATTTCGAAGAAAAAATGAATGCATACTCAATTCCTTGAAACTTAAAGATTAATATTATTATTATCTAACATACTTTAAGTTTCGACCACGAAAATGCACTTCTCTGCGTTTTTCTTTCGGGACTTTCTTGGTTGTATCGATAGGAATCCTATAGAAGTCACTGCGACAACGTGTTTGGTTACCTTATGGTTATAGTTTTAAGAACCCTATTGGAAAAAAATTATTACTATCAGAGAAATTCTTCAACTCATTCATTAACGCCAAAGGTCATCGCGCCGCGCACACAGGTAACCTGGTCTCTGTAGGACTCTAGCAGACCGTCATTCACAGGTATGCTGAATGACAGCTAGACTCAACAACAGCAGCAACAGTCATTTCGAAGAAAAGCTTCCCTTGACGAATGCTCGTATTGCATCCTCCTAGAGCCATAACCCTCTCACAGATATATGCTGTGTGCTATGTCCGACATTCTTTTGACAGCACCCTTGGGCTTAGTTGTTCAAACGTGCTTCCATAATAGGCCAACAACGTTGCAGATGGCCTAGATTCTTAAGAAAGCGGCGTTTAACATCTATTCGAGGCTCCTGTTATTCGGCTCTTAACTGAAGCGAAAACTGATAAAAGAAAAAAACACATATTGAGCAGGGGGTTGTATTCAACTACGCAATACGATACACAATCATCACACTTTACCAAGCATTATGTCGTGAATGATTTAGATTGATTTATAAACGGGTGTAATAATCCAAATTCTAGAAACTAGATCAATGCCATTACTTCCATGTCCCACATGATCGACGATACGCGTCGAGTTAGACCCACGCTGCAACAAATGCCGCGTTGTGGTTATCATAGTGGTTACACGAATACTAAGCCAACCGGTTACCGCTTTGGTGTCTCTACATGGGCCTAAATGAGGTGACATATTCTTGGAGGCCTGAACAAGCTTATACATTAAATTGTCTACACATTTCTCTGAACACAGACAACAATAAAGAAGCAAGGAGTGATGAGAAATAGAACTAATACTTATAATCAAGAAAGGGAACACGGTTATAGCTATTCTTATTCTCGAATCATTAAATGCCTGTAGTACTGACGGTAGGGTTAGAACAGACTAAGCCACTCATATTTGGCAACAGAGAGAAATACAAAATCTCAAAAGCATCTTATGTTACCTACAGATCATAAGGAGATCAGCAACAGTAAAACAAGAGTACGACTTATAAGCCTTGCTGTTATCCACATTAGAAATCCAAGCGGTTCTGTAGCCTCACAGTAGATGTAGAAATGAAGAGAAAGCCGAGACAGATTTATTACAGAAATTACTAAGAACCACCATCATTATTACTGTTGCTGCCGTTATTACTGTTGGATTACAAGATGCTACAAATTAAATTATTTATAAGGCTAAATTTGTCTACAATATAAAGAAGTCCGTAAGTAAAGGCCATAGTTAGACATAGCCCCACATCGCCAAGCAGATATTTAGAGGAGAATTATTCCTCAAAAATCTTAATCTAAACCGTAGATACTTCATGGATACTATTACTTATGCTTCTGCTAACCATTCGTTGTATGCTCATAAGTTTCTAGGCCCACGCCCACTAAGAGCGTGAAGATTTTGAGGATACCTAGCTGTCTTTTGTCGTATGTCTATTGTACTTTTAAGGACGGCGACGAAAATGCAAAGACAACGAAAAATAAAAAGAGCGCTACTCCGGACTATACTCTTCTATGCTTCATGAAAACGCGCGCTAAGGTAGCTGCTGTTACTGCTCGATCGTATTCGTTTTGTTCGCGATATGGGCCACTGATATCGGGACAAATGTTATCCTTCGAATTGGAAGTCACCCAACACTATTACAAATAAGAGTAGAACCTGTTAGTACGGTAATTACTGAACAAACCGCAATTTAAACGGCGGCGTACTATTGTTGTAATTTGCAAGCTTGAGAAGATCATCCAGACTGTAGTAATACACTTACTAGGTCATTCCCGCATTCATTTACGAATCAATTAAAACTAAATTTTTTAGTTGAAAGGAGATGTTCATTTTCGATAGTAAATTCACTCGCTATCTAACGACCGCATCTAACGTAATCAAGTTCTACTGACGAACGAACTCAACCTCTGAAATGACGAGGGCGCTAAGAACACACCGACACGCTGAACACGTATGTAAAGCATAGCAAACATATCTACTCATTGATAACTGGTCAACAAATCTGCATTCAAGATGTGCGAGTATAGACGGACACTACGCTGCACACTCGATTCGTCCAATGCCACGGCTAATACCTGTTGGCCAGTACTTTAGATTCATTTCTGAGAATATAGTGCCATCTGTTACTTGTGCCAATAACACCAACTGCTAAAAATTTTATCGCATGGTCTTAATTCAGGATAACTGCAAAGCTCATTCTATACTACTGAAAACATACATTTACGGCCCACACATTTCCCATAATGTAATCCTGCACGACCTTTCGCATTTGTACGTTGGTGGGTACTGAACGGTAGTCCTTTCCACTACTTAACATAACCAATCATTATAGTAATACGTGGAGCGAGCATAAAACATGGCACATCAACAAAAAGATATGGCAAGTTGTTTGTCCTTGTGTGTTGTCGGACCACTTTTCTTAAACCTTGAGTCGGCTTTCAATAGGCACCTTCACCTATGGGGAGACCAATCGCCATAAACCTTTCGCTGCTTGAGACCACCCGTCCACTTAACAATTACCGTCTAACCTAACAAATGCGCATCCATTGTGAAATCTTGTTATCATTACGTATCTATCTATCCATGAAGACGAAACCTACCGATGACACAATCACAGTCGTATTCCATAGAGCATAAAAGCACACAGTAATTCACAGTAATCCTAGTGCATGTAACAGCGAATCCTGTTTCGCACAGCACAGCGCTGTCTTTCGACTGCAGCCAGCTTGAACTGGTTGCTCGCGGTTGGCCAGACGAACATTTTGTGGGCCAGAGGGCGCCCTCGTTTGTGACGACACAACCCTGTGGAGAGGGCAACACGTGAGCAGCTCCGGGAAAGGACGGGGCCACATAACGCCCTCGTTATGTAGTTCATTCTGTATATCTGTGTATATACATGGACACAGTGGGTGAACTGACTGCCTGCCGAATTGATCAGTTGTGTGTGTGCGTACCTAATGAGTTCTAGCGTCAGCGCATGGTCGTTGATGTGTGTGAGTCGATGCAAATGTATATATGAGACTATCTATCTATCCAGCAGACTGAATGTTGTAAAGAGCGGACGGGTTGTTTGCTTCTGTGACGACTGACTACTGCCTGGCCGACTGGATATCGCCGAGGCCTTTGACGCCATTTCAACGGAACTGAACGGGTCTATTCGATTCTGCTAACTGACGGTTGACGGCGATACCAATTGCGGCTTAATAATTTGCATGAAAAAGAATTAAACGTAATTCACTAAAGCGGCAAATTCATGTCGGTTGAAAAAAATACGTACACTTAAAAATATAGATGATTCAGATAACAAGTTGATTTAGTTCTGGTATAAAATAAACCTTAGCATTTTTGTCCGACTCTAATTAGCGCATAATATAGTTGTTTTTAAAAAATATTGACTAAACATTCTCTAGATTCTAATATAAAAAGATAACATTTCTGCTAGCCCAAGATTGACTAAGGATTAATTAATTATAATTACGTCAGCTATGACATATTTCGGTCAAACCTCATTGATCATAGATCTATGCAACACTTAATGGCCCACATCTAGATCTAGTCCTTCACTGTTACAAGCGGTAGTCGTTGCAGAAAATGAGACGTAAACAATACTTCTCCCAGGGGATAAAGCAAACTTAATGAACTGAAGGCTAAATTGAATTTCACGTAAACGTTCAGAAATGAAAAAAGTGAAGGCAGTAAAGGTACCTTGTAAATATCCGACCTATCGTTTAGGATGTCGATGCAACCTGGACCCATCTCTGTTCGAGTTTCCCACGACAATGACTTGCACTATAGCTAACTATACGGAAGTCGACAGTCGGAAGGATTGTGTCCATTACTTTTGGGTGATCAAGACCTTAGCTATTTTGCCATAGGTAGGATAAAGGGACCATTACTGCATCGGTTCTTTGATTCACCACGAGAATTCAAGGAAAAAGCGAAGAGCCAACTGAAAGGAATTAGGTTTGATAGGCATAGATGACTATTCTTTTTGTAAAAAGTCAGCCTGAGTCACTTCTCCTTAACTTAACTATTCAAGCAGTGCTCGCAAAAGCCGCTCAACAACTCCGTTGTAGGCATTTATTTCAAGTCCGCTGGCATGACTTGTTATTCCCGTATTATAAATATGGAAGAATCGGTTTCACATCTGTGAGCTCGTCGAACTACAACTCCGCTAACATAAATTTCAAAAGCTGGAAGAGGGTATATGTTTTTCTTTTCTTTTAAAATTAATAGCACTTTCTACCCACGATCAAGTGCGCTCTTTGTCAAGATGTACATATTGACCCTTCAAGCGCGTTATCAAAAACACGCTCCAGACACATATGAGCAAACCGCATACTTTTAAAAATCAATTTCGATAGATATGTTAAGCCTAGACGGGTTTAATAAAATAACTTGTAAGGGCTCGTCAATATTCAAATACATCAGTTTAATAAACATATCACTCACATCAGTGATAAATTAAGAGGGCCGTAGCATATGCAGTCTTTCTTGGACAGTATGGAAAGCCTTTTCGTAACGAGCTTGCCTACCTACTAAATTTGCTTCACAATTTGTCTCTGCTTCTGTGCAAAGAACGCCGCTCGACTATCTCCACAATAGGAATTCCATTGAAGGTTTAAGGTAGACTTCACCAAGCACTTCCTCTCGAAGTGTTAAATATGGCTATAGGCCGCACTAAGCTACTTACAAGTATAAGCAAGCCAACGAAGGAAGGGAAATAACAAGAAACTGACTATCGTCGGGCTTTTGGAGGAAGGCGCAGTAACATCATCGCAACCAGCGGCGGCAGATTCAGCTGTGAGTTCGATCAAATACCGGCGTTCTGGTTGCCTTTGAGGAGAGAGTGGCACTGGATTGCACGTTGAAGCCACGGAACTCTACTTCTTTGAACAGACAAGGCGACTGCTGGTTGTTCAAAGCCTCGAATCGCTTCGAAGATAAGAAAGAAAGAAGACCAGTGGGAAAGATGAGCACTGAATCGGAGACCGAGTCCGCGAACGATACTGAACAAGTGGTCGCTGTATCGGGAAGAATATCTCATTCTCAGTAGCCAGAACGACCTTCTAGCGAAGCAAAAATTAGCCAGTCAGCTAGACAGGAAAATGCGGTATATACGACAAGCATCCGTGACCGAGCGTAATCAAGAAAAACAAGGATTTGCTCCATTCTGGTTATTCAGGCCGTGTCGGCATCGGCTATGGCAGTGTACGCTATCTCTTTTGCGGATGCTGGAAACATAGGCAAGCTCAACGTAGTAGTTTCACGATAGCAAAATTACTATTGAGACACGCGCAAACTTATTTTAGCTTATCTGTTTGTGTCTTTCTGAGGTACACACTTGTTGGATACTGTGCGAAATTATTGCTTATTCACAAACTACAGACCGGCAGGCTCAAAATGGCAGACTTCTTGAACGATGCGGTTTACGGACATTTTTGTAGCTTCTAGATCAAAATGCATGCAATATTATAAGTATATATAATAAATTATAATAATTTATTATTAGGAAGAAAGGTTAGAGAAACCACAGATTCACAAAGCACAAAAACATTATGAATACAGCTACATCGACAAACATAAAACTATAGATCATTACTATAGCTATCGATGATGCAGTAATAGCGGTTGCTGTCATGAATAGCGCACTAGTCGGCGTATTGCTATATGTGAGCCCGCCGCCTATCTGTGCCCAACTGCTGAAACAAAAGCACTGCTGTTAGCTATAGCGTATGAATATTGAGAATAAAATTAAACTTTTTATTCTTACATATATAATACAACGAAGGATGATGTAAGAGGTGCTAATTCTGGGTTAACCTCTCAAACCTAGCTGTTGGTTGAAACGGCACACCATATGTTGCCGACTTCGATCTTATCCCCGAACGAAGAGATCCGGCCAAGCGTTCTTCTACGTATTTTTAGCTCTTCGTCTTCTTTTATTTTTTAAAAAGCCAGCTTCCTACAACCCACGGCGGCTGGCCGCCCGACTAGCCTCCCTTGTTTACTACTACGGAAAGGTCTCCATCTACATACGTGTATGCATAGATAGATATACAGTCAGATTCCCCTCCCCCACTGAGCCAACGACGGCTGGACGCCGAGCGTGCTTTTTCGTTCGGCCATACGCTCGTTGGTTGTCTAGTCGGTTGATCGCTTCTTACTGCTGCAGCTTCGCTTCCGCGAAACGATGGTCAGTGACGCGTCTTCGGGGAAGTTCTGTGACGTCTGTTCTCACGTCAAGACGCCAGAGTTACCGGAGCTGCTGTTGATTTCTGCTGTTGCCTTTGGGACAACTCTGCGAGCATCTGTCTGCCTCGAGGAAGCGGTGTCGCAAGAACCATCGATTACTGCTGACATTGCTACCAGTCAGTGATACAGTGACGACACTATGTGACTATGTGACCATTGAGATTTGCGACCAGCTTTGATTGAAATTTAAATTCGACAAAGAACCAACGACTTTCTCTTGCCAAAATGCATTCACTCCAAAGATAACTTTTTGACCGAAGTATAATCGTGGCTGAAAAACTGTCAGCTCACAGTTATTGTTATCGATTACTAACCCGCGTTTTGCTTAGCATTAGGCAAGCCTCTGCACGTTTCAGCATTGCAAGAGCACAGTTATAACCACAAAGATTGAGGATGGATCGAGAAGTGTGGTCTAAAGTTTTGTCGTACCGAGTAAAGTCGTACCAAAACCTATTTTACTCGGTTACAACAAACACTTTTACCAAAGCTAGAGTCTGCCAAAACTCTTACCAAAGCTAAACTGCTCGATTCGCTTTTTTTTATTTGGATAATTTATTTGGATGTGTATTTAACCAGCCGAAACAGGCAAAAACCACATTGAAAACGATTAGTTTGCATGCGTTAATTCGCACCTCCTAGGCTCTAATTGTTGTCAGCTGTTGTTACTGGTCTAAGCGCATCCCTGTCCTTTAGTAGAGCTAACAGAGTTTCTACTATGTTGCAAGAAACAAACTTATGGCAATCTGCACGTTTCGCTTGCATTTCCTTTTACATACTGGATATGCGGCATTGTGCTAAACGAACAATGAAAACGAGAAAAAAAGTGCATTATGAAATACATAGATATTTCAATCAAAGTCCTAAAACGTAAACAAAAAATTTTTCCAAGTAGCTATGGATCAGACACACGCACCCGATTCACCATAATCTAGGACTATAGAATGGTGAAGTTCA